GGGTGGACAAGGCACTGAGCACACAGAGCGAAGCATTGGAGGCTGAAATCCTGTCTATTTAACGTGGCAGGAACATGAAAGGTGCCGTCAGCCTTCTCAGAACTCTGGAAATAGCTTTAGGGTGACTGTTGAGCCCCAACAGTAGCCTAGCACTTCAGAAAGAGGAAGAGAGGGCCTTTGCATTGCCTCCTTGGACTCGCAGGTGGCCCCACTGCTGTGAGGCCGTGGGAAAGCCACTTGGCCTCACTGGACCAGAGCTTCCTCTTGGATCACCTTCCGCATGAGGATGCTCTGGCAAGAGGACCGGCAAAACATCAGCAAAACCTCAGGCTGCCCACAATCAGCAGCTGTTCATTTACTGTTCCATCAGTGAGTTTCTCTGCAGTACTTCCTGTTAGGACGGTGTAGGTCTGGGCAAGTCTATCCCCTCAACGTGGAATCTCCCAGGAGACTATCAGACAACTTGGGGACACCCAGGGGAGAATCTTCTGCATTACAGGAAACTCTATGTTGCTGTATTTTTAAAGAAAGTTGGCATTGCTTCCAGTAGATACTCAGTGTGGTGTCTGAGCCTCACTGTTGAACAAAGTCCATGGCTGAGTTTCATTAGGACTTTCACATCCGCTCTGTAGAGCCCCCACCCCCTTCCTAATCAGTAATCAGGGGACACAGCAACAGGGCCTCTCACCTTGTACTCCAGCTCACCTTCCAGCCCTGCCCCACACCTGGGCTCCACACCCTCTGCTCTGTCACCACACTGGGCTCCAGTACCTCTGTTGCTTCAGTCTTACCCCGGCCTCGGCCAGCTGCCTCTACGTGGGTGCCCTTCCCTCTCTGCGTGTCTCCCCCTGCCTTCAGGCTAACCTCACTGTAGGGCCTTCCTCATCCTCCCGGCCAGAGTCAGGCTCACCCCCGCAGGCCCCAGTGCTGGCACAGCCCCCTCATCTGTCTCCCACCCCTGGTTCCAGCACTGACCACACAGGCACCTTCTGCCTTTTCTGTGGACAAATGTGTTTCTCACAGACCCCCCATCTCGGGTGCTGTCCTCCATCTGTGTATCCTGACAAATAGCCAAATAGCTGGCACACAGCAGGTGTTTATCAGAATCACTTGGAGCAAGGGTACATAAACCATTCTATCGCTATAGGGCTCTGTTTTCAAAGTGTCTACAAGAACCTGCAACAGTTTTCAATCTCCCACAAGGAGCCTGCAATGGCATGTCCCTTCTGTTTGAGGTTGTCCTTGAGATGGTGATGTTCTGTCTCCAACAGGTCAGCGGGCAGCTTCTGGGGTTCTACAGGGTGGTTCTTCCACTCCAACCACCAGGACCAGCTCTTTTGCAAAACACCAAGTCAGCTGATGCCCCCACCACCTCTTCTTCTCCTCCGTTACCAAACCACACCCCTGCAATCTTCTGCTGATCTGGTTGCTTTCGTACAAAGCAAAGCCTGCGGTATCACAGTCCTTCCAAACCCAGAAGTCTCCCTGCAGCTGGAGGCATGGCCCAAAGGAGGAGGGCCATCTGCCTCTCATGAAATGCCATGTGATGGGCTCACTGGCAGCCTACGTTCTAACCTCTGAATCTCTCATCCAGGCCACTGCAGGAGGCAGATGTGATGGTATGGACAGTATTGTGCGGCTGGGGCTCAGACAGGCTTGGATCCAGGTCATGGGCCACCCCTTACTGGTCCCGGGACTAAGGAAGACACCACTCCTTTGTGTCCACTTACCATAAAATGAATGGGGGGGGTGCCCCCTCCCAGGCTGCTGGGACACATATCACATGCTCAGTGCACAGGACATGGCCCTGAGGGTCCTTAACTTGCTGTAACTGCAGTTAACTCTCGCTTCCTGCCCTGAGGAGGAACTCCCTCCCCACCTCCTTCCCCTCACTGCCCCAGAAAGCCTGTCACCCACCTCTTCAATATTCTCCATGGCGCCCTGTGACCTGGGGGATTAGTCCAGGCTCCATGGTATGCCAGAAGTGCAGGCCCCTTCATGATCAGCCTGGCTCCCTGCCCTGGCACCTCGGTCATCCGCTGACCACCCCCTGCCCTGCTGCCACTCACAGTTTCACAGGCATAGGCCTTGCCCTTGGGACCCCTGGGCCCCTAGCCCCATGGAGGTCCCTAGTACAGGAGGCCAGGCCTCAATATTCCCTCAGTGGGGTGCCAATGCAGTCTCCTCTGTGGGTATCCGAGCGCTCTGGTTCCCCACAGGCAGGGTTAGTGGCTCAGCCTCCCACTGGCCCGCTACTCTGCTTGTAGTTGTTGTTGGGTGCCATCGAGTTGATTCCTACTCATCGGGACTCCGTGTGACAGAGCAGAACTGCCCCATAGTGTTTCCCAGGCTGTAATCTTTACGGGAGCAGATCACTAGGCCTTTCTTCCACGAAGCCACTGGTGGGTTCAAACTGCCAACCTTTGGTTAGTAGCAGAGCGCTTAACTATTGTGCCACCAGGCTCCTCATTACCCTGGTAAGTACACGTAAGATGCTGAAATCACAAAAAGTGACACTGAATTTTGCTAATTTTATTTGTTGTTGTTTTAGGTGCTGTCAAGTCAATTAATTCCAACTCATAGCCACCTGTCATGGATTGAATTGTGTCCACAAAAAATATGTCAACTTGGCTAGGCCATGATTCCCCATATTGTGTGACTATCCACCATTTTGTCATTTGATGTGATTTTCGTATGTGCTGTAAATCCTACAACTATGATGTTAATGAGGCACGATTAGAGGCAGTTATGTTAATGATGCAGGACTCAATTTACAAGATTAGATATCTTGAGTCAATCTCTTTTGAGATATAAAAGAAAATCAGGCAGAGACACAGGGGAACCTCATCCCACCAAGAAAGCAGTGCCGGGAGCAGAGCGCGTGCTTTGGACCTGAGGTTCCTGTGCAGAGAAGCTCCCAGATCAAGGGAAGATTGATGACAAGGACCTTCCTCCAGAGCTGACGGGGAAAGCGTTCCCCTGGAGCTGACACCCTAAATTTGGACTTATAGCCTACTGGACTATGAGAGAATAAATTTCTCTTTGTTAAAGCCATCCACTTTTGGTATATCTGTTATAGCAGCACTAGGTAACTAAGCCACCACTCCATGTACAACAGAACGAAACACTGCTTGGTCCTGCACCATCCTCACAATTGTTGATATGCTTGAGCCCATTGTGACAGCCACTGTGTCAATTCATCTTGCTGAGAGTCTTCCTCTTTTTCTCTGACCCTCTACTTTACCAAGCATGATGTCCTTCTCCAGGGACTGGTCCTTCCTGATAACACGTCCAAAGTATGTGAGATGAGGTTTCGCCATCCTCGCTTCTAAGGAGTATTCTGGCCGTACTTCTTCCAAGACAGATTTGTTTGTTCTTCTGGCAGTCCACGGTATACTCAACATTCTTCAACAACACCACGATTCAAAGGCATCCATTCTTCTTCAGTCTCCTTATTCATTGTCCAGCTTTCACACGCACATGAGGTGACTGAAAACACCACGGCTTGAGTCAGGTGCACCTTAGTGCTCTAAAGCAGGGTTCTCAGTCATGGCTGCACGTTATACACATTGGGGGAGCTTCTGATGAAAATATCAATACCCAAGTTCCACTTCCAGATATGCTGTTTCAACCACTTTGGGTGGAGCCCAGGCAAACGCACTTCTTTAAAGTTCCAAGGGTGATTCCAACGTTCAGGCAGGCTTGCGAAACACTGGATTAAAGGACAGAGATGTGGGTTTGCAGTGAGATGGTAGGCTTTTGAGTCCTGCTTCTACTCTTATCGCTGTGTCTCCAATCCTCAGTCACCACACCTCCTTCCATCTACATTCGCCTCTTGTTAATATAAGGAAAGGAGCTCTGGTGGCATAATGGTTAAGCGTTCAGCTGCTAACCGAAAAGGTTGGTGGTTCAAACCCACCCAAAAGTTCCATGGGAGAAAGACCTGGACATCTGTTTCAATAAAGACTACTTTTGTCGTTAGATGCCATCAAGTTGGTCCCAACTCACAGCGACCCTATATACAACAGAATGAAACACGGACTGGTCCTGCACCATCTTCACAATGGTTGCTATGCTTGAGCCCGTTACTGCAGCCACTGTGTCAATCCATCTCGTTGAGGGTCTTCCTCTTTTTCACTGACCCTCTACTTTACCAAGCCTGATGTCCTTCTCGAGGGACTGATCCATCCTGATAACATGTCCAAAGTACTTGAGTTAAGTCTCACCATCCTCACTTCTAAGGAGCATTCTGGCTGTACTTCTTCCCAGACAGATTTGTTCGTTCTTCTGGTAGTCCATGCTATATTCCATATTCTTCGCCAACACCATAAAGATTACAGCCTGGGAAACCCTATGGGGCAATTCTACTCTGTCATAGAGGGTAGTCATGAGTCAGAATTGACTCAACAGCACACAATAATAACAACACAATATAAGGATAACAACCCTCACCCAAGGCATACAACCCAACGGGATGTGAAAGTGTCCCACAGATGGTAAATAACAGTAACATACATTTGCCAAATATGCATTAAACCCAGATTCTTCATAAATGCTGGATGGATTTTTGGTAAGTGCACACTGTTGTTCTCATCATCATCCTAGCGGACAACCTCCCAGCCCTGCACAGGGCCATCTGAGCACAGGTGCGAGGTCTCTGTCACCCACAGTGAGAAGCTGATAGTTATTAGTCAATGCATGTTTGTTAAATGGACAGGTAATGGCCAAATCAATAAATGTATTCTGAACTCCAGAGAAACAGAGACTGTTAACCTGCTTAGTTTTTCCATAGTATCTAGTACAGAGTCAGTCACACAATAGGGGTCTAACAGACACTTAATGATTTTGAGTAACAGGATCCGAGTACTTTTCGGATGGATGCCCAGTGTGAGGTTACAAGTCCTGCCTTTTCATCTCTGCCTGCTATATCGAGCATGCAGTTATGCTTATCCTGCAAAGCTACGGCCGTCCAGACCTGAGAGGTCAAATTCTCTAATTACCTGCAGCTCTGAGCACAGCTGAGAGAGTGTTTCTTCAACAGCAAGGGCCTCTAGGAAGGAAAAAACAAACAAACAAAAAAAACCATACAATTAAAGGGACACACACAGGAATGCAGCAGTTGCTGATGAAAAAGCAGAGGTTTCCCGGTGGCATTACAGTCCCAGAGATAAGCGCACCTCCTGAGGACTCTTTTTATACCCATTCTAACTGCCCGCATGGGTCATGGTCATAGAGAGGGTGATCCTGATTTCGAGTCCCCGGGGAGAGCAAATGGTTAGCCTGCTCGGCTGTTAACCAAAGAGTTGGGGGTTCGCATCAATCCAAAGATGCCCTGGGAGAAAAGGCCTTTTCTGCTTCCAAAAAATCAGCTGTTGAAAACCCCATGGAGCACAGATCTCCTGACACACATGGGGTCACCATGAGTTGGAATCAACTGGACGGCAACTGAGTTTTTTTTAAATCCTGGTTTGGAGCCTTGTGGCTTAGCACTAGATACAGTGCAACACTGTCTCGTGGATGATTTCTTACGAACAGTAGATCCTCACGTTCGCACACTATGTGTGGTCCAAAGTGCTTCTACATGCATTGTGCTTTCGTGAGTCCAGGCATGCATACTGCATTTTTACACAAATAATGTGCATGTTCCTTCGACGCTTCTTTGCCAACCGTGCCCACCCCGGCCAGGTATTTTTGCACACTGTGTGATTTTTTTTTTTACAGTAACACGCAAAAATTCGCATACAGCTCTTATGAAAATACCTCGAGGAGGAGGCAAACAAATGTAGAATTTGTGTGTTATTTGCGTAAAAACAGTCACGCACGCACGGTGGCATAGGTCTCTGTGACTTATATGGCCATGAGCTGGGGTCCCATCTCCAAAATGAAGAATGGAAAGCCCAGGGAAGGGAGTGGCCGTGCCGAGCCTGCTCCCCAGCTCTCCTGCCTCTCATCCTAAAGCATCGGGGCCTCCCATGCCACCAACAGTGGGCCCACACTGCTCCACCTTATTAGTGGGACCCAGCAGCCTCTCGGCATTTGGGATTTAACATCCACAGGTGTATTTGAGCTCTTCCCTGGTTCTGTGATGCTGTGGTCCGTCATTTACACTTAGCCAAGGCATGACTTGAGAAGCAGGCTCATTAGAAGGCTCTGAGCAGACCAGCATGAGTGTGACATGACATAAAGGACCTGCCCCAGGAGTCAGGGTCTCTGCACGCCTGTCACGATTCTGCCACTGCTGGGTGACCCTGAGCAAGTCACTTCACCTCTCTGAGCTTTGGTCTGATCACTTGTCAAGCAAGAAGGATCTGGGACCAATGATCTCCACGATGTTTAATTTTTGGAAAATCCATGTGCAAAAACAATTCACCTCCAGAAGTCAAAACACGGTGGATACACAAGAGGTTTTTATAATTATCAAACCCATTGCCATCAAGCTGATTCCAATTCACAGTGACTCAATAGGACAGAGTAGAACTGCTCCATAAGGTTTCCAAGACTGTAATCTTTATGGAAGCGGACTGCCACATCTTTCTCCCTTGGAGTGGCTGCTGAGTTCAGACCGCTGACCTTTCAGTTAGCAGTGAGTGCTTTACCACTGCGCCACCGGGGCTCCTTTTTGAATCATTAGATTACTATGTATGTGTGTGTGTGTGTTCTCTTTCTCTCTAATCCTTTCTTCCTTTCTTAAAATTGTTTGATCCTCTTGTAAGCTGGAATCTCCTCATTACAGCCTAAATAAGGAGAGGATATAAACTACGCTGGCACAGAACAGACGACGTTTGTTTTCTCGTACAAGGTCGCCATGAGTCAGAGCCGACTTGACAGCAACTAACAACAGCATGAACTACACTTCCCCCTAGAAAGCACGATCAGGTACCCCAAACACCAGGAATGCAGTGGGTCCAACATCCTATTCAGTGAGTGAATGAATGAGTGAATGAATGAATGCGCCTTGAAGCGCTCATGTCTTTTACTTTTGGTATGGATCATCTAATTTATTTCTCCCCTCGTGATCGCTCACGTCTTTGCTCCCTGCATTTTCACATACGAGGGTCTTGCTTGATGGAATGATGCCAACCAAAAACCACACCCGCTGCCGTCGAGTCGATTCCGACTCACAGCGACCCTACAGGACAGAGGAGAACTGCCCCATAGGGTTCCCAAGCAGCGCCTGGTAGATTCGAACTGCTGACCTTTGGGTAGCAGCCGTAGCTCTTGACCACTACGCCACCAGGGTTTCCTGGAATGATGCAGAGTACGGGAAAACCCACCCGAACCACGGAGTCCCTTACTGTGACGTTCATAAAAGCGTGCTGAGTTTTCTGGATCCCTCATCCCAAAGAGGAGGGTGGGCTGCTGGGATGGATCTCCCTGCCCCTGCCCCTTACCCAGCTCCGTGCGCGGCAGCTCTGGGACGTCCCGCATGATGACCAGGAAGTAGGTGCGGAGTCCATGGTACGCGTGCAGCAGCAGGCGGCACAGGCCCCGGTGCCACTTGTGGGCATGCTGCATGCAGTTCTCCGAGGGCACGTAGAAGCTCCCCTGTGGGCGGGACACAAACCTGCCTGAGGACGTCGCGCCTGGCGGCTGCACAGGGCACCTCCCTCCACAGCTGCACCGACCATCACCGAACGCGCTGCAGCTCAGGGATTCGGGTCTGGTCCTTAGAAACACAGGGACGGGAGTGACATCCCCAGGAAAAGTGTGCAGGCAGAGGATCTTCTCTATCCCTCTGCACGGGAGAAATGTGAAGTCGGCCCACCGCTGTCTTGTCATGCTTACACTAAATTAACAACGCAGCAATCATAGTAATGATAATGATGACGGCTATGCAGACAGTGATGAAGATAATGGTTGAAGCTGATGATGGTGATGGCCTGCCACGTTTGTGAGACTTGGATGGCACCCACTTACAAGCCCCTTTCTTCTGCAGGGTGCTCTAGAAGGAGAAAAGGTCATGAGACAGACAGAAGTGGGTTCCTTTGGACAGACAGGTAGGAATTCAGAAAGACCCTTGCAGCAGACAGGTGAGAGGCAGGCGTGCTGCGAAAGAGAAACCTATATTGTCGTAAAATAGGAAGACACTGTGAGGTCAATCGTTGCTGAAAGTGCACTTCGGAAGAGGTTGTGAACGCAGACTAGAATGTTTTGCATATTTTATGTGTAGATGTAGGGTGTACTAAATCAGCAGAATTACATGAATGTGGCCTTCCGTGAGGAAAAGACTCCTCAGTCCACAGCGGCTTGGAGATCCAGACATGATGAAGAAGAGGACAGTCTGACTTTCTTGCAAACCCAAGAGAGAAGGACTTTCTGGGTGAATATTGAGAGACTTTTTTTTTTTTTTTCCTGAGAACAGAGAAAGGAATCTCATGGAAATTGGCTCTCAGGCAGTGGGAAAAGGGAGGTATTGAGTAGTGTGTGCCGAGTCCCTGGGTGATGCAAACAGTTAGGCACTGGTGGTTCGAATCCACCCAGAGGCACCTCGGAAGAAAGGCTTGGAGATCTGCTTCCAAAAATCAACCACTGAAAATCCTATGGCTCACTGCTCTACTCTGACATACATGGGTTACCACAAGCTGGAGTCAACTCAGTGGCAACTAGTTTAGTTTTTGCCTTTGGTTTGGTCGGTCGGTTGCTGAATAGCATGCTAGCAAACTCGCGGCCTCGAGACCTGCCAGTTCCGACTCTGGCTCACTCGGCTGTGCCGGGAGCAAGTCCTGGATCGTTACAGTTCCGCGCTGCCTGCCCTATCTGGCTGGTAGCCAGCTGCATGAAAGAAACTCCATTTGGGGCGTCCGTGGGATTCCACGCTCTTGGTGGCTTTTGTGAATATCTACAGATATTCGCATTATACTTTATCTCATTTGATCTTCAACAGGCACCATGTATGGCAGATTTTCCAAACAAAATACAGACGCTGTTGTTGTTGTGTGCCATCAAGTCGACTCCAATCCACAGCGACCCGATAGGATAGAGGAGACCTGCCCCCATAGGGTTTTCAAGGAGCTGCTTGTGGATGCAAGCTGCTGACCTTTTGGTTAGCAGCCTAAGCTCTTAACCACTTTGCCACTGGGCGCCTAGAATATAGACAGATACGGTAAAAATCACCAATCACAACCTCATGAAAGGGAACACACTATAAAGTGCCCCAGTCCCCAGAATTCAATAATTTCTTATGGATTCTTCTAGAATACTTTCATATACATATATTCTTATGGACTTGTTTGTTCATTTAATGAATGTTTATCTTGAAAACACACACACATCAGCTAGGACATACCTCAGACATTTCTCTGTTCCTTGCTTTTCTCACTTAACATCTCCAGGAGTTCTTCCTGGTCCATATCTACACTAAGTGGTAGGAACTCCTATTCCCATTCCACAGATCAAAAGACTGAGGCTCAAAGAATTTAATGACTTGGACAAGGTCACCCTGCTTGCCAGCAGAGGCAATGATTCTGAAAATACAGGTGTTAAAATGTTCTCAGTATGCCACACAGGCCTCTCAAAGAAATGCCTGGTGGAGAAGAGCTGTTTCCACAAAGGGTTGTTTGCTTTGACTGAGGCATTAATCTGAGAGTTGGGGTGTCTCCATTAGCTGTGACTAAGCAGAAATGAAAGCAGAAATGGGATTAACAGAGGCCTCAAAGCCAGCAGGTGTGAGTCTCTAGTTTGTCTGCTCCAAGCCGCATCTGGCCTAGCTCTGAGCACCGCACACGTTACCTACTCACACCTGCCTTTTCCCAGTAACAATGCCTCATTTGGAAAGTGCCCGAGGATACACCAAAGAAGGCAAGGAGCCCATGAAGTCTGTTATTAACTTTGACTTTTAAAACTAGGCACTAATATCGTATGACTTTTTCAAGAGAGGCATAAGGAAGACTCTGGGGAATTTTCACCAGGTTGATTCAGTACGATTACTGATAGAACACGAAGTCAAAATACCAATGCAAACAGAAATCTGGGAAGAAAACATATACACCTAGAGATTACGATGAACAAAACAAAGCAAAACAGAACAAAACAACTTCTTTCTCCATGAATTACTCAACAGCACACACTGTTGAAAATGAGTGCTGTACCGTGGAAAAGCCCATCAGCCTCCCCTCCGGGCCTAGGGCGCCTCGCGGGTGTCGGCTTGGGAGACCCAATGCACTTCTATTAGCATTGCAGGAAGTGGACTGAGAAACCGTGCTCGGTCTCCCCAGCACAAAGAAGGAATGATTTAGCAACCCCCTTTCAATGGAAACCCTAGATAATGATAGAGTAACCACGCAGGGCAGGTGGGACATCGGGCTGCACATGGGCTCACGAATGCTAGCTTCCTGGCTCAGGGCCCATCCCACACTCGGTGCACAGCCAAAGCTAGGTCTCTCTCCCCTTCTGTGGCTAAATTTAGTCCAGTGTAAATGGGCAAATATTTGCATAGCTGAAAGGGAGTGAAATAGAGGGTTGGGCACTTGGGCTGTAGGGCAAACAGTTGGCGTTTAAGACCTGAACCCAAACCCAAACTCCAACTTTGAGCTCTGGTTTTGCCGCAGACTCTGCCAGTGTCACCTGGGACAGTGCCCTTCACCTCCCTGAGCCGCAGGCACGCAGCCTGCTAGACAGAGGAGTTTTCCTTCCTCTCGGTTTACAATCTATGTTTCACACAGCAGTTTTTACAAGGTTTTTCAAAGATGCCTTTTCACCCAGCTCATTACAAATCACTGCAAGGTGATTTCTTTTTTAACTCGCATTTTGTGGGGAAAAGCAACTGAGTTCCATAGGACTTGGAATTACAGGAAAGACCTGGGACCAGAGGGTCGAGGCTCTGCACAGGGACTGAGGTGGCCTCAGAGACAAGAGTGAGAGAGTTCTCCGCCCCCACAAAGCCCCACAAACACGCAAGCCGTTTGTCTTCCTAATGATTTTTATCAGTAGGCGTTCCGTGTGAATTCACCAATGTACTTAAGTTATGATGTCTTCTTTAATAAATTGGTCGACTCTTACATTATCAAGGGATTTTGACCTATTTAGAACTTTAAAAAATAACAACTCATTAGTAACTAGAGAAGTTGATATATTGACTCTGAATAATTCATAACTATCTTGTAAATGGAGCCCTGGTGGCTCAGTGGATAAAAGTCAGCTGCTAACCAAAAGGTTGGCAGTTCAGATCCACTAGCTGCTCCCTGGAAACCCTATGGGGCAGTTCTACTCTGTCCTATAGGGTCACTATGAGCTGGAATCGACTTGATGGCAACGGGTTTTATCTTGTAAATTTCCTTTAGGCCTATGACGCACTTTGCAGGAACGTAAGTCATTACTATTGATCTGTTTGCCTTTAGAGAATGATATTTTCATATTAGGTATCATGACTGGGAGTCCCATTGAGTCCCTTTATACTCTTCAGTAACTCCATGAGGTCAGTTCGATCCCGTTTATCATCATGATCCTGATCCCCTTTGTTGGGTACTCCCTGGGTGCCCGTCATGGCTAAGAACCTGAGATCCAGAGATTAATAAACACTGATCCCACCTGGAGGATGCCCAAGTTTGGGGAACCAGAAACACAAATGCTTAATTACAGTGCAATGTGGTGTTATAATAAATATTAAGAGGTTATGAGTATGTGATGGGGCACGATCAACCATCTGAAGGGCTGGGGTAGGAAAGGCTTCTTGGGAGAGGTTATGCTAGAGTTGAATCCTGAAGGTGAGTCAGGCAGAGAAGGGATGAACTGTCATTAGCAAAGGCACTGAGTTATTAAAAGAGCAAAAACCAAACTAAACCAAGCCAAACCCATTGCTGCTGAATCAATTCCAACTCATGGTGACCCCATGTGTTACAGAGTAGAACTGCTCCATAGGGTTTTCTTGGCTAAAGCTCAGGCTGCTAACCAAAAGGTTGGCAGTTTGAATCCACCAGCTGCTCCTCGGAAACCCTATGGGCAGTTTTACTCTGTCCTGTTGGGTAGCTACGAGTCAGAGTCGACTTGACGGCACACAACAATAACAACAATCTTTAGGGAGGCGGATCACCAGGACTTTCTTCCATGATGCTCCAGGGTGGGTTTGAACCTCCAACCTTTCAGTTAGTAGTTCAGAGTAACCTGGTTGGACCACCCCAGGACCATATTAAAACAAAGTACCAGAAAATGCAGTCAGCTGTGTGCTGCTAAAGTAAATGAGTCCAGGAGAGAGAAGCAAGGGATGAGGGGGACAGAGAGGCTGGAGTCAGGACATGGAGGGCCAGGAGTATCATGCGAGAACCCATTCCCAGGCACCCAAAGATGCACAGGGAATGTACACAGCGTGAGCTAGCGTGTCCCCCACGAAGAGAGGGGAAAGGGGGCCTGCACGGGGCCCCTCTGCTATGACCCCAGCTCCTCACCAGTTTTCTCATCTCGTCTTTAAACCCCCAGGGAGGCTGGAACATGATGTAAACTGGCAAAAGTGGAATCAACCCAGAGAGGTTAAGACAATGGCCCTTGGCACCCCAGTTAAAAAGAGTCAAGTCCAGAATTCCAAAATAGCTCCGCCTGGCTGCCAAGCCCAG